AACTGTTCCACGTCCATGTTCCCTTCACTGCACTGCTCCTCGTAGATCATGAGATCAGGCGTCATGCTCCTCCAGATGTTGTTGCGGCCATCCCCGCTGGCACCGACAGGGCCAAGGAGCACGCGCTCATGGAAGAGCAGCTCCCCGAAGTCGGCGTAGCGAAGCCCCACCGACCTGCCAGGCACCAGCTCATGCGAGAACTCCTCGGCCGAGCATGGCGTCCCGTCGGGCCCCAAGAACCTCCCCTCGGGGAGCCTCCTCGCGCGCGCCATTGCGCCTCCTGCCAGCAGCCGCCACGGCCTGGCCGATGAGCGCCGACAGCAAGTGGCCGCCCACCACGCCGCCCCAGCCCAGGCCTTCGGCCTCCTGAGCTGGGCAGGGTGGGCACGGGCGTGCCTCCTGCGGGCACAAGGGCAGCTGCGGTTCCGCGCGGCCGAGCTCGCCCACGGCCTCCTCGAGGCGGCCAACCGCGGCACTCAGGCCCGCGCGCTGGGACTCCTCGCGGGCCCGCTGGTCCAGCTGCCCGAGCACCAGCAGCAGCGCCAGCGCGGCGCGCATCGTCAACTTTGATGAAAGAAGACAGCGAGGCTTGGGCACAAATGTTATGGACACGGAGGGGGGTTGTAGGGAAAGCAGGACCTCGACACCCCCAAAACTTCTGCACGTCATTCTCGTACAGCGCACACCCATGATCGGCATCAGCACGATCACAATCGTCATCAGCATCACCACCACCACCACCACCACCATCATCATCATCATCATCATCATCATCATCATCATCATCATCATCATCATCATCATCATCATCATCATCATCATCATCATCATCATCATCTCATCATCATCATCATCATCACATCATCATCATCCATCATCATCATCATCAAGATGTTCATCATCATCATCAGCAGCAGCAGCAGCATCATCATCAGCATCATCAGCATCATCATCATCATCATCATCATCATCATCAGCAGCAGCATCATCAGCATCATCAGCAGCAGCATTATCATCAGCCTCGGCCACCAGCAGAGCCATTGAGCTGAGCTGTCTTGTGGCCTCTTGGGCCACAGTGGCAGCCTTTGGGGCCGCTTTGGCGCCCTCCTGTGGCAGCTGTCCTGGGCAATGCTGGAGCGTCGGCAAGCCGAATAAACAGCAACGGCAAAACACTTCAGAACCTCCTGAGCATCGTTTATCCGACCCCCATCCCCCAGCGGCGTGGCCTGGGCCCCACTGGCCGATGTACCCCCCTGGATGGGGATATAGGCCGTTCCCATCGGGCATCGGCGGGTGTATCCCCAGCTGCGGGGGGTAACTTGGTGGGGGTCTCGAACGGGATGGGGATGGGGATGGGGGTCGGTGAAACGATACTGACTTGGTGCCTTGTTAGGGTGCTTTGGTGCAATCTTGGGGAGCGTCTTGTGCTCTGTTGGAGCGTCGGCAAGCGGAACGAACAACCACCGGAAAATGTTTGAGAGCCTCCTCCTCCTCCTCCTCCTCCTCCTCCTCATTCTCCTCCTCCTCCTCCTCCTCCTCCTCCTCCGATGATGATGATGATGATGATGATGATGATGATAATGATGATGATGATGATGATGATGATGATGATGATGATGATGATGATGATGATGATGATGATGATGATGATGATGATGATGATGATGATGGTGATGATGAATTGTAGCGACTATCGCGTGCCCGGAAGGCTCCCTGGGAACACGATGGTGGCGGCCGTGGAACTTCATTTCCTCGGACCTGCGGCGACAATCACCTTCCCTGAAAGCTTTCCACGCAGATCGGCAGGGACAGGGTCCAAAAACACAGGGGATTTGCCACATTTCTGAAATTCGGCGGCACCCCTCACGCAGATCCGCAGGGTCAGGGTCCAAAACGCAGTGGATTTGCCACATTTCTGAAATTCGGCGGCACCCCTCATGCAGATCCGCAGGGGGTCAGGGTCCAAAAACACAGGGGATTTGCCACATTTCTCAAATTCGGCGGCACCCCTCACGCAGATCCGCAGGGTCAGGGTCCAAAACACATAGTGGATTTGCCACATTTCTCAAATTCGGCGGCACCCCTCACGCAGATCCGCAGGGTCAGGGTCCAAAAACACATGTGATTTGCTACATTTCTGAAATTCGGCGGCACCCCTCACGCAGATCCGCAGGGTCAGGGTCCAAAAACAAAGGGGATTTGCCACATTTCTGAAATTCGGCGGCACCCCTCACGCAGATCCACAGGGTCAGGGTCCAAAGCGCACAGTGGATTTGCCACATTTCTGAAATTCGGCGGCACCCCTCATGCAGATCCGCAGGGTCAGGGTCCAAAAACAGATGGGATTTGCCACATTTCTGAAATTCGGCGGCGCCCCTCATGCAGATCCGCAGGGTCAGGATCCAAAAACACATGAGATTTGCCACATTTCTGAAATTCGGCGGCACCCCTCACGCAGATCCGCAGGGTCAGGGTCCAAAAACACAAGGGATTTGCCACATTTCTCAAATTCAGCGGCACCCCTCACGCAGATCCGCAGGGTCAGGGTCCAAAAACACACGAGATTTGCCACATTTCCAAAATCCGGCGGCACCTCTCACGCAGATCGGCAGGGTCAGAGTCCAAAACACATAGGGGATTTGCCAAATTGCTCAAATTCTGCGGCACCCCTCATGCAGATCCGCAGGGGGTCAGGGTCCAAAACGCACAATGGATTTGCCACATTTCTGAAATTCTGCGGCACCCCTCACGCAGATCCGCAGGGTCAGGGTCCTAAACACACAAGGGATTTGCCACATTTCTGAAATTCGGCGGCACCACTCACGCAGATCGGCAGGGTCAGGGTCCAAAAACACAGGGGATTTGCCACATTTCTGGAATTCGGCGGCACCCCTCACGCAGATCCGCAGGGTCAGGGTCCAAAAACACAAGGGATTTGCCACATTTCTGAAATTCGGCGGCACCCCTCATGCAGATCCGCAGGGTCAGGGTCCAAAAACACAGGGGATTTGCCACATTTCCCAAATTCGGCGGCACCTCTCACGCAGATCGGCAGGGTCAGAGTCCAAAACACATAGGGGATTTGCCAAATTTCTCAAATTCGGCGGCACCCCTCATGCAGATCCGCAGGGTCAGGGTCCAAAAACACATTGGATTTGCCACATTTCTCAAATTCAGCGGCACCCCTCACGCAGATCCGCAGGGTCAGGGTCCAAAAACACAGGGGATTTGCCACATTTCTCAAATTCGGCTGCACCCCTCACGCAGAAGGGTCCAAAAACACAAGAGATTTGCCACATTTCCCAAATTCGGCGGCACCCCTCACGCAGATCCGCAGGGTCAGGGTCCAAAAACACAAGGGATTTGCTACATTTCTGAAATTCGGCGGCGCCCCTCATGCAGATCCGCAGGGTCAGGGTCCAAAAACACAGGGGATTTGCCACATTTCTCAAATTCGGCGGCACCCCTCACGCAGATCCGCAGGGTCAGGGTCCAAAAACACGAAGGATTTGCTACATTTCTCAAATTCGGCGGCACCCCTCACGCAGATCCGCAGGGTCAGGGTCCAAAAACACATGGGATTAGCCACATTTCTGAAATTCGGCGGCACCCCTCACGCAGATCCGCAGGGTCAGGGTCCAAAACACACAGGGGATTTGCCAAATTGCTCAAATTCTGCGGCACCCCTCATGCAGATCCGCAGGGTCAGGGTCCAAAAACACGAAGGATTCGCCACATTTCTGACATTCGGCGGCACCCCTCACGCAGATCCGCAGGGTCAGGGTCCAAAAACAAACCAGTCTCGACACTGCTTCACGGCGGCGCCCAGACCTCATGATTTAGCTTTTGTATCCCCCATTATCCGAGACAGGGGGCCGGCGGCATGGGGCGAAGCCCTTACGGATAAACTGAGATTCACGTGTACCGCGCCCCGACGCGGGCCTCCGCGGAGGTGGGCCGCCAGTCCGTGCGGCCCAGCGTTGGGAGAGGGAGAGCGACGAGAAGAGGAGAAGCAAGCGCCGGCGGGGCGAGGCACTGCTGCTGCTGCTGCTGCTGCTGCTGCTGCTGCTGCTGCTGCTGCTGCTGCTGCTGCTGCTGCTGCTGCTGCTGCTCCTCCTCCTCCTCGCGGAAAAAAGGCAGCGACGAGAACACATCGATGCCGAGATGCGACTGCGAAGCGAGCCGTCCTGTCGGGCAGAGCGAAAGGCGCGCGGGCTGCGAAGGCGCGCGGGCTCGCCCGCACCACGGGAGACCGCCGCGAGTCGCGAAAAGCACGGCAGCGTGCCACCACGCCGCACCCCCATCGCCTCCCCTCCTCCTCCTCCTCCTCCTACCTCCTACCTCCTCCTCCTCCACCTCTCCTCCACCTCCTCCTCCTCCCCTCCCTCCTCCACCTCCTCCTCCTCCTCCTCTCCACACTCCTCCTCCTCCTCCACCTCCTCTCCTCCTCCTCCACTCCGCCTCCACCTCCTCCTCCTCCTCCTCCTCCTCCTCCCTCCTCCTCTCCTCCTCCTCCTCCTCCTCCTCTCCACACCTCTCCTCCTCTCCACCTCCACCTCCTCCTTCCTCCTCCTCCTCCTCCCCCTCCTCCTCCTCCTCCTCCTCCTCCTCCTCCTAGGTTTTGGCTTGGACCGACGGGCCACAGGGGACCCGTGTCCCAGCCCCCGCGCCGCCTGCCCGACCTCGGGCGGCGGTATCATCATTCCTCTTTCATCCGTCCCTCCCAAACGCGCGCGCGCGATAGGTCGCCCGCGTGGCACAGGAGGGCTCGCCGCGCGCGCGCAGCCGCTCGCCAGCTCCTGCGGCTGGCCAGCGCGCGCGCCCTCCTGGCTCGCCACCACGGCGAGCACCTGTGCACGCCGCGCGGCGGCCCTGGTGTCATGGCGGGCGACGGGAGCTGCCTCCAGTCGCCGTCGTCGTCGGCTGCGGGACCGCCGTGGCGCGCAGGAGCTCCAGGCGCTGGGAGAGGCGAGCCTGCACGGCCATGTCTCGCCAGCAGGATGTGTGGTTTCAAGACTAACTCAGCAGCAGGGCCACCTGCTGGCAGCGCGGGCGGGATCGACAAGGGCGGCTTCCAAGCGGGGGTCAGCAACGGGCATCGCGTACGAGGTCATCGTCGGCTGCGCGACGCCGCCGTGGCCAGGCAGCTCCTCCTCGCGATGCTGGTGATGCTGGCGCTGATGGTGCACCCGCCAAAGTCGGACGAGTCCGAGGCCGTCGTGCGGGCTCGCACGGCACTGGCGGCCTTGCGAAGGTTGCAGCACGACGACGACCGCGCATCCATCGTCAATCTCACCCGCGAGGCCAGAGCGCTGGAGGCAGAGGGGCGCCGCCGCAGGCCCCCAGACGCCGCCCTGCGCAGTGCCCAGGACCGCATGGCCGCGAAGACCAAGGAGAAGGAGGACACTGACAAGCAGTTGGCGGCTGCCGAGGCTCAAGTCGTGGACCTCCGCAAGCGCTCCGAGAGCCTCTCTGTGGAGGTGGGTGCCCTCCAGCAGGAGGTGGCCGAGGCGAGGACCCCGGCGACGGTCTCGGCTGCTGGCCACAACGGGCTCGACCTCGCGGCCATGGCATCCAACCTGCTCAACCTCCAGACGCTCATCGGCAACGCCCAGCAGTCCGTGGGCGCAGGCCAAGGCCTTCAGCTGCTGCAGTCCATCCACGCCGAGGTGCAGGCCATGAGCGCGGCCTTCCCCGCGGCCAGCGCCTCGGCCCTCGCGGCAGCAGCGGCGGCGGCCCAGGCGCCCGCTGCCCCTGGAGGGGCTGCCGCGCCCGCCGCGCCTGGGCAGGCGCAGGCCGCACCGCCCGCACCCTCGCCGCCGACGGCTGCAGCGGGCACCGCACCCTCGGAGGTGCACGGGTCGTTTCGGCCCACCGACGCCACCGACGGGGACGCCTCCATGGCTGCGCCTGGCCCCTCGCAGTCCGACATCGCGTAGCTGGGCCAGGCGGAGGGCGCCCCGCCGCGCAACGCGCACGAGCACTACGCTCGCTTCCTTCAATGGCTCGTGCTGGAACACGTTCAAGGAATACCTCATCGCCTGCCCGAGGGACGTCGCGGCGGCGGCGGCGCAGGAGCTGCGCATACACGGTCGTGACAAGGCCGCTGCTGCGCTCTGGGCGGCTCGACACGGGTGGAAGCCCTACATTGCGGCTTGCCGCAGATTGGAGTCGGGCCGCCCCACCGCTGGCACTGGCATCTTCATCTGCGACCACATCGAGACGCACATCCTCGGCATGGGCTCGAAGGCCAGCGAGGCCTCTCATGTGAGTTTGCCCTCATGGGCGGTAGCTGCGCACGCAGACGTTGGAATGCAGGGGGGTGGTTCTAGCGCCCGTGCACATGGAGTCTGTCGCTGACTCGGCCTACCTCGCACAATTTTCAGAAGATAGCACGCGTGGGTGAATTCCTTAGGTACTATGACAAGCCGTTCATAGTGGAAGAGGATTGGAATTGCACCCCAGATTTGCTCGACCGTTTAGGTGCGACGCAGAGTTTCCCAGCTTTGTGCGCGGTGTCGCCTGGGGGGGGGGCACCTGCAGGTCTCCACAGGGAAACCACCGTGCCCTTGACTTCTGGCTCTCCTCCCCCATCCATTGCCTCATCGTGTGTGAACCCCAGGTGTGCACCCGATTGTCCCGCCAGGCCTCATTTCCCCATCCTAGTCGACCTGGCTCCGCATCCGCGGGCGGTCAAACAGCTTTGTCTGCAAGCGCCCAAGGCCTCCCGCTTTCGCGGGATGCCACCCTCTGGGCCCCCCCCCCCCGAGCCTCAGCCATACGTGGACCGTATCGCTGAGGACTCGGCCCGCGGGATCCCCTCCGACTCAGATCAGCTTGCCACGCGTCTCGATGCGTTGTATGGTTCTTTACTGTCCATGGTGGAAGCTGACCTGTGTCACATTTATCAGGTGAGCGATAAGGAGCGTTTCAGGGTGGGTCTGACGGCCCTAGGTACGCATGGAGTCATGCAGGAGGAACCCCCACTGGCAATAAAACCGCTAGCGTTCCCGAGGCCCGCATCCTTCGCATCCTTGCTCAGGCCATGGCCGGTGTGTCTTCGGACGCGGAGGATGCGCCAGTTGACGGCGCCCAGAAGGCTAGGAGGCTCCAAAGGGCAATGCGCCCTGGCCATACGCGTCATGTTCACACGGTGGTTGGCAAGACCATATTTCATAGTATCCCCTCGCTGCTGGATGCCTCTGCTGCCTCCGTAGCTCTTGGCTCGAGATCTTCGAGAGCCCACACTTTCTGGCTCCTCCATATCGCCGAGATTGCAGGTGCCCACGCGGAATCACTCGAAAGGGCGGCCGCTGAGTCTCGGAAGAAGGCATTCCACAAGTGGGCGCGTGAGGCCATGATCACATGCCCGACAGGCGTCTTCAGCTACACCAAGGTGAGGGGATGGGCGCATTCATCGTGCCCGTGTAGACCGCTAGGTCTCACGCAGGCTCAGGCGGTCGCCGGTGGCCAGATGGATGGTTGGCGTTCTATATGACAGAGTGATAAGCGTGCGCACGAAGGGGAGTTTGACGCCGACCACCTGACCTTCGCTGATGCAGACGGAGTGGAGATGCGGACGCTACTACGCGACCTGCCTGACGACGCCCTGCCAGTGCCGCAGGTTCAGGACATCCGCCGCGCGGCGCGTTCCTTTCCCTAGCGGACTGGCACAGGTGTCGATCGTCTTTCCCCAGGGCCTTTGACCTTCTGGGCGACGAGGCCCTCGCTTTCATGATCTACCTTCTCTGGGCATGTGAGGTGGCACCGTTGGCCGCCACAGCTCATGATGACCCACATCGCCCTCTTGACCAAGAAGGGCGGAGCAGGGTTCAGGCCCATAGCGCCCCTCCCCCCCCTGTTATCGTATATGGACAAAGGTACGCTTGACCCACGCGCGCAGGTGGGCTCAGAGCAATGCCAGAGGTTTCTTTGCCATGGGGGCGGGTAAGTGCACGGTCGATGCGGCATCAAGGCTCATGGTGCGGTCTGAGGCGGCCGCACGCCACCCCGAGCAAGCTGTCACCGTGTCGGTTGTGGATATATGCAAATGTTTCGATAGGGTTTCCTGGCCGATGCTCCTGGCAGCGGCGCGTCGCTTCGGTTTCTCAAGTTCAGCGATCAGGATGGCGCTTCTGATGTATCGAGCGCCTAGGCGTCTCACCTGGAGCGGCACCTTCTCGTATCTTGTGTCGGCGAAGCGAGGTGTCCTACCTGGCTGTACCGATGCGATGTACCTGCTGCAGTTGCTGATGATTGCGCCGATCGATGCGTTCATGGCGCAGAGGGAGCACCGGCCGCGGCCCCTCGATGTGCACGCTGATGACCTGACCCTGCAGCTGGTCACGCCTAGGCGTGATATCGCCCACGCTGCCACCGACGCGCTCGCGCTCTTGGCGGACACGCTGCGCGACATGGAGCTGCCGATTGCACCATCCAAGGCGAAGGTCATGGGATCGGACATGGAGCTCGCGACGGAGGTGAGTCGACGGGTGCGCCGATTCGGCTTCCGACCTGCGAACGTTCTTTCGGCGCTGGGCACGGAGGTCACAGCTGGGCGGAGGCAGCGGCGCGCTGGTGTGCACGCGCGCCTCGCTGCCATGCGACGGCGGCTACCCAAGCGTCGCCGACTGCGGGGGCTTCGCTCGAAGACTTAACTGCGAGTGACGGCCCCAACGATCGGGCCAGGGCTGACCCACGGCCTCCACGTGGTCAGCGCTCCCCCGCACATCGTGCGCAGAATGACCGCATGCGCCAGAGTAGGGTGGGCTAAGGCGCCAGCTGGATCGTCGACCTGGGCGGCATCGAGGCTCGAGCCCAACTGGAGGCAACACCCTGGGTGTCTGGCCGTGGCTGGTCCTATATGCAACTGGGCCAGAATGATTACCAGCGAGGCTGCCCCCCTCGCGGCGATGCAATGCGCGTGGCAGCTGCAGACCCCGATTGTGCTACGTGCTGATGATCCTTGGCGGCATGTCCAAGGGCCTGCAGGGGCGCTCGCCATCCAGCTGCGGCGGCCTGGGTGCATTGCGTCGTCGGCATGCGCCTGGCGGACCAGATCAGGCATTCAGCTTGACCTGAGGGTCGATGCTCCTACCTGGGCCCGCGCGCTTGCCACCCGCGACTTCGAGTTGGCGGGGTGGCGTGACTGGGCGGCGCGAGAGGAGCAGGCGCCTGAGGACCCTGGGGCGAGGGTCCCGAGAGCACCTGATGGGTACTGGACTGAGCCACTGCGCGCTCTGTTTTGCGAGGCTCGCCATCGTGAGCTTTGGAAATTGTCTCCCCTCGCTCTCGCCTCTCCGAGGTCTACTGCGACTGGCGCTCAGTGGACACATTGCCGTCTGCATCACCACGGTTACTCGGATCAGCGTGCATGTCAAGCGTGTGGCGCCGACAGCGGCACGCTTCACCACCGCTTCTATCAGCGCCCTCACTTGGAGGAAGCGCGCATCGAGGCCATAGATGGCCCAAGTCTGTCGCGCGCCAGGAGTGCGCACACGCAGTGCCCCTTCTTTCAGAGGGCCCTATTTCCCACGTCCTGGCTTCCTGTCTCGAGGCCCCCCGTGCTTTGCGAGTCTTGGGGATTTGTGCTTCGTGGCCCAGGGCCCCTGGATGTCACTGGTGATGTTTTCACGGACGGGTCGGGTAAAACCCTGGCCTTCTGGCCCGAATCGGCACGTGCGGAATGGGGCTTCGCTGTGCTGCAGGGTGATAGGGTCCTCGGCCAAGCCTTTGGGCCTCTCCCTGGGTACCAGCAAACGGCTCCTAGGGCCGAGCTTTTTGCGATGTTGCAGGTCCTGCGCGTCGGACGTCTACCCATGCACATTAGATCCGACCATATTCCCGTGATGGATGGCCCCATCGACCGCGGGCGTTCCTGGTGTCTTGACCATGCCAGAGAGAATTTGGATATTTGGCGCATGGTCTGGCGCGCCAATGACGATCAAGGCGGCATTAATCAGAACTTGCGTTTCTCTTGGGTTAAAGCCCATCAGTCCGTGTGGTCGCAGGATAAAGTTGGAAATGATGCAGCAGACGCTGCCGCGCGCCGTGGCGTGAGGGTTCATGCGTTGCCTCAAGATGTGGTTGATGGTCATGCTGCCTCTCTCCTCCTTCTCCGTCAAGTAGCCTGTTGGATTGCTAGTTCGCAGGAAGCTATGGCCTTGGAGCGTGTGGTCTCGGACCGCACGCAGACGCCACGAAGGCGTAAGCATCAGAAGCCCCCTCGACTCCGTCATCGCCCTCCTCCTCCCCCGCCCTCCCTGTGCCACCGACCCGTCCTGGATCAGGGAACGTGGAGGTGCGCCCGATGCCCTGCATACGCCCGCAGCGAGGCAGGTGCGAGGCGTCTCAGAACTCGAGTGTGTTCGACGGCGACTGCCGCCCTCCCCGTGGCCCCGCCGCCTTCGTCGCCGTCGCTGTCGTTGCCGCGGCTTGAGGGGAGCGGGGAGGAGGAGGAGCAGTCGAACGTCCCCGTTTTCTCTCACCTCACCAGCCCCCGCGTCTCGGACGCGGATAGGCCGAGGGTGAGATTTCGAGACCCCTCTCCTGATACGGATGGGGTCGTTGCCCACCTAGCCCAGAGGGT